TTTCTCTTTTCCCCCCCCCCCCCCCCCCCCCCCCCCCAGTATTTTTATTTAAGAAAACATGCTATTTTCTGTCTTCCACATTATACTCTTAAAGCGGAGTGGGGTCAGATGTCAGATAATGCCTAGATGTGTATGTATTGTGCACAAATATGTGTGTGTAAAATCTGTAAAAGTCCCTATCCTCTAAACAGTGATGATAAGTCAGCTTTCCAAAGGCTTGGATTTTATCCAAGATCTGGCAATAGGAGTATTTTTTTCCCCCAGTTTTCTTACAATCTTATTTTCCTTCCTTTGGCTGCTAGATTTTATTTTCTTTGTGGGAGATAAGCAACTGTCCCTCACTATTCATGTGCATGGAAAGTTGTAGGAGACGTGGTGACTACCATGTTTAAGTTTGTCCTGTATGCTTTGGCTTTTGCCAGCAGTCGGTAATTTCAAGCTTAAGCATGTCTAGATATACTTAGACATGTACTTTCCTCATAGACTTAGCATGTTCTATTAGTACGATGTCATTTGTCGTCTTTTTAACACATTTGCAAGTGTGGCATCTACCATGCCATCTAAAGGCAAAAAAGAAAATTTGTACCCTAAGCATTTTACTTTAATATCGTTTGCCAGGCAGGGAGCCCAGAAGACCCAGTGCAAGAGGGGAGGAAGAGGGATCCCACAGCTGGGTTTGCAGATGCTGAGCATCTTGTGCTAAGTGTAATTTGACCTGAAGCTGACCTTGAAGCTTATGGGCTGAATAGGGAACAGCCATTAAAAAGAAAATATAAGGAAAACAGACACCTGGGACTCTTATCCATAAGAAATGGAGCAAAAATGACTTTTCAATCAATCTTTTTTCATTACAGCTGCTTAAATGAATGCTCCCTCTCGCTTCACCTTAAATCAGATGATATGAAATGAAAAACCAGACTACACTGGGCAATGTCTCTTCGTTTTCTGTTAACATTCTTGGTCTGTGATTTTAACCCCCACCCTCTTGCCAGGAGAGGTCAGGAAAAAAAAAATCTGAAAACTTTTGTACAAATTTTAATTCTAAGTTTAAAGAATGGGGTAGAAGGGGGCAGACTGCCTGAAAACAAGTCTCCCACCAGCTGTCTCAGGAGTCCTGCTGTTGCACAATAACTCACTGGGCTAGTGTGTAATTGAACTTGCTCTCTATGTAACCAAGGTGCTCCACATGCTATGAAGGATTTCATTCCTGGACAGATTCCAAGGCCTCTTAAAAGTGGTGGCACTTTTCTAGTTCACTTCATGAGGCAGTGCCTTCAAATTCTTTGAATTTGATCCTGCAGGATCCCCGAAGGAGGTAGAGAGTAAAGTTGCTACAACATGAGTGGGACTTGGCTTTTTGTTTTGGGTTTTTTTTTGC